AAAGGCATATGTAACATAGTTATCTAGACTATATAGGAGTACCCGATTTGACCTCATTGCTTTAGCTGGTATAGTATAAAGCAAAAAGGTAATTTAGTTAAAAACATGTCAGAATTAGTGTTTGATTAGTTTTGGCTTGTCAGACTATACAGTTTTGACTGATTCGACTAGTTAAACAAAGTTGAAAAATGTTTTTGAATATATCTTATATTTTAAAACTAGTATCATATACTTTTTATATTTTTTGAAAATTTGGTTCAACTGACGATCAAATCGGTATTGATTAGACTGGATCCCCATTGATTTTGTGGCCAGTCCAATCTTGATAACTAGATTATATACAATGCTTGAAAAACTAAAACTAGAGATAGAGATGAAGGCCGCACGCTGGTGAAGATGGTGCTATTAAAAAAGAGAAAAGCATGCTGCAGATTCTAGTAGAGATAGAAAATTAATAAGTAGAACCAATGAGAGAGAGAGAGAAAGAGAGTAGGCAATCAAATGATATTTTAGTGCCTGAAAAAGTGAAAAACCAGAGATTTAGGAAGATAGAGCACCCTGTCGTACATAAAGAAAAGAAAAAGTGAAAACCAGAAATATAAGAAGATAGGCACAGTCCTGTATATAATAAAGAAAAGAAAAAACAGATAAGTGTAATTTGTAAAAAAAAAAAAAAAGAACAAAAAAAAAAAAAAACAGATAACTGTATTGCAGATATATTAGAGGGAATCTAAAACAAAGAAACAAGTGACAAGAGACAAGAGAGAGAAACTACTATTAATAAGTAGAAAAAGAAGCTAGAACTGGAGAAACTAGAGAGAGAAAGGAGTCTTAGAAAAAGGCTTTACAAAGACTAGTTGAGATGGCGATGGAGATGCTTGCTTTTCACTAAAACACACCTACCATTTTATAGAACCAGAATAATAAAGATTATTAATTCATCATTAATGGTTCTTAATTTGGTTTTGGGTGTAGGTGCAAAGTACTAATGCTAGTATTTTAATATTTTGTCCCATGCGGGTCTAGAAGGAGAGAGAGAGAGTTAAAATTAGAGAGAGAGAGTTAACACTACATCCTAAAAGATTTCTTTCCTGGTATGGATTGTCTTTGTCAATGGTTTCATAATCTCTCTATAAGACAGATTACAGAGAGAAGATTAATGGTCCAGCCTAAAAGCCTGCCTTATTGGATGCTCTTTTTGAATGGTTTCATCTTCATCTTCACGTATCTCTCTCTCTACTTTGCCCCTGTAAGGAACGAGCTCAAGGTTAGGGTTACAAGATTCTATAGTGTGATGTCTTGAGTTTCACTCATACCGGATTTGAAATTAACATTTAAAAAAATAAAAAAATTAAGAAAAAGGCACATGTTATGTCTTATGAGAGTAATTTAAGGATTTAGGAGTCATTTGATTCTTTCTAAATATTATAATAAATATTAGACCATTTTCTTTTTTTTCTTCTTTTTTTTATTTAATACAATGAAACAATTTGAGTGATGAAGATAATAGGATCCACTCTACAATCACAAGATTAGGGTATTTTCATAAAAAAAGTGGATTTAAAATTCTTAAAACAATCAAAATAAGGCGCACTTTCATATGGTATCGAAAATGTTGTTGCAATACTGGAAATATTTGTGGTGGTTTGAAATTTAATTTCATATCTAATTATAAAATTTAAAGCTAAAAAATAGAGTAGATTTAGAGGATCTATGAATATTTGAAAATCTTGAAAATTCATAATTCGAAGATGCATTACAAGATGTATTATTTCCAAGACTTGAAATCCATTTTTTCTCATGTCCATACATCTTGAGGTTGAGATGATCAATTTGAAGATTTTTAGGCATCGGAACAACCTCTTTTAGTAAAATTTTTGAGGTGGGCCTTAATTTGATTGTATAGAGCTTCGCAGTTATATAAATTTTTTCCAAAGATAATCTCTCTTTGTAGGCAATCCCTTATTTTATACACAACACGTTCTGAGTTTGATGGTTAGGTCGATGAGGTTATGCCCTAAATTTGTAGTCTACAAAATACTCCTATAATGTGTTTGAACAGTGGGAGTAAATGTACCATATGCTCTCATGGCAGCACACACTCTTATCACTTTTATTTTTTGCTCAAAGATATTCTATTCCTGCAGAGCAAGATGTGGAGTAGGATGTCCATTTAATCTCTCGGATATTACCCTACCTAGAATTAACTTTAGGACCCCAAAACCCTCTTAGAGATTAATCTCAATAAATTTTTTTCTTAATTGTACCTTCTATGCACTCGAAAAGAATAATATCTCGAGATTGAATAGAAACAATGAGATCCAAATGTTAGAAAACTTAATTTCAATATTTTTGAGAATATTTATCTTATAATTTTTAAATGATTCTCAAAATTTCGGATTGAAAAAATCCTACCGAATAAGTTTCCCAATTCCAACCGAGGGAAAATAAATAAACCATGCTCCCGAAGGAGGATAGTATAGGTGCTCTTGATTCATTGTAAAAGGGTTATAATTTGAAGTCCCAAAAATTAATCCCAGATGTGGTTCCACCGAGGGAGTAATATATGCTCCTATGGAAGCACATAATCTTTTGGCCATGGTCATTAGCAATTTTGTTTCTTCAGGAAACAGTTGTACTTCGGAGTTCTTACTCACTTTAATCATTTCATGTGGCACTAAACTGGATACCAGGGATCAATTCTCAATGCCAATAGTTACATAAGAGGGCTCACCACCATGATTATAGTTACAAAAAGTTGAGTCACTTAGGAGATTCATTCTTTGATCACCAATCTAGGTTTGATCATAAAAGGCATAAATGTATAGAAAGAGGACTACAAATGATCTTGTAATAAAAAAAGCACTTAAAAAGGTGTGGCTAATATTTCACTCAAATAGTTCCAATTGTGGTATTATAAGTGCTACATGAACTACAAATCTCTCTCTCTCTCTAAGTTAGTACATTGGCAATATCACTAGACTCTCTTTAGATATTTCTAATGAGCTTTTTCTCTTGCTAGACATGCATGCAAATTATTTGTACGAATTTTCATAGAACCCTCCAAAAATGCACATTTTGCATGCATTGTATACTTTGTGCTGCACAGTTTTATTCCTGGACATATCCTCATCTGGGTAATCTAGACTAATTCTACATTTGAACTTTCAAATTTGAATTCAAACTTTCTGTTACATCCTAAACAAATTATGCAAAACTTTTAAAAGTGTCCTTTATATATATTTGCCGAATTCATAAAGTGCCCTTTTCAAAATTGAAGCTTACTTTTGCTATCACCCCTTTAGTTTTATTTTTCAATTTTGGTCATCCCCAACATAATTTATAGGTTTTAAACTGTTTTATCTTTGAGGGGCTTTATGGAAGTGATGGCAATTTGGTCTTAATGATTTTGTGCA